GCATCACACATGAGTTGAATGACTTTATTTTTGAAGGTGCCCATTACTTGATTAAAGGTCTTCAAGTCTGCATAAACCTTGACAGAAAAGTATCAAGTTCACAAAGGAAACGACTAGACGCTCAAATCGGAATGGACATACAATAGGTATTAAAGTATTAACTAATTTGTAATTACGTATATTGAAATACATAAGGAAGTTAGTGTTGCACAATACAACCAGTCAAATAGCACAGGAAACGGACTAGTTTGGCCAGATGCCGTGAAATACTAACATAGTGTTCCTGGTTTTTGTTGGTTACTAAATCACCAAGGACTTATTGCGCCCTGCAGGTAACAAAGACCCATAACGAATAGTTTCTGAATAACATTTGATTAAACAGACAAAAATAAACCAAATATTTTGTTTATTTATAATATATTGTAATACCTAGGTCAGTTCGAGCGCCACCTAATAGAATTGAAGTGCAAAATAAAAATCCTTTTTCTCTTGGCACAGTACTGCATTCGAAACAAAAATAGCAGAGCAAAAACATTGAATCACAAAACGAACAACCCAGATGTTTTCTTGCTGTCTCACTCTAGCATCAGTGCTGTCTCAACAGAATCACGCGCGGACTGCGTGCACGCAACCGTCGATCGATCAGCCAACAAATCGAGCTGCGTGACCAAACTTTCGTTTTGATCTCGACTAGTCGATCAACCAGTCGACCAAACACAAGTGTTCGTGTCCTGCCAAATATACTGTGTTCATGGAAATCCGTAATGCCCAGATAACTAAAGTGAGGTTACTGGTTGATAATAATGATATCTCGTCCCAGATAGCTTTAGACTGAGAAAAACAAATCGTCAGTTTTTAGATCAGCTACTTGTTTTTCCGTTATCGGTTAAAGAAAACGAGATCCAATCGGGTCTTGCAAGAAATAGGCGAGCAGGCAAGCTACTACACAGTTCAAGCATCCCACATCCCACACGTTCAATACTTAAAATACATATTTGTAAAGCAATGCACCTCTTATGAGAAGAGTTCTTTGTTCTCGTGCTGCATACGCATCATCCATGACAAATTTTTATATGCCATATAAACAATCATTTTCTCGTAAATAACCAACAGGGTACTCCATCCGGTATTAGAGTATTTTGCCATTATCAAGCTGAGACAATTATGATTGAATTGAGTAGTTACTGAAAACATTTTTAGGCATAGATCCTAAATTATTTTATTCCGAAAACAATGAATGCAAAACGGAAATACGATACGAACCATATCATAACAGTTCCATAGTTTTTAATAATTATTTATTAATAATCAGATTATATTTAACTAGAAGAGAATTGGACTCACTTCATTGGAGTGTAGAGTCGGTTTTTGAGTACCAATGCAGGAAAGAAAGGCAGCTGCTATCACTGCTCGAGGTTAATAAACTTTAATTTTGATTGGACAAAAATATTTATGCCGTAAATGATAACTTGGTTTGTAGTTGGAAGTCAGCAAATGTTATGTTCATGATAAATGTTTAACTATCTTTTGTTTGTGAGGCTTTATAACCTCCAAAAATCGCAAACACATTGTGAAAGTATGCCAACTGAATCTGGTATCCATTTGAAAGGTCAATATTCTGAATCAAATTGGAGTTTAGCCATGAATGTAAACTTGTTGCCAAAATAAATACTTACATCCTAACAGGACGGACGAGGAAGTTACCATCCTGAGCAGATGTTTAGCGTATGATCAGAAACTTGATACAGGCATCATGGTTGAAAGGCGGACACAACGTGCAGTTTTGTAAAAGAATAAGGACGAGTGTTCAATCAATAAGTATTCAAAGTTAAACAAGAAATCTTTTATCCAACACATGATGGCGGATATTGGCTACCTGCCCTAACCTGGGACTGCTTAACCATACTGATAAATAAAGGAAACCAGATAGTACCTAACAATAAAGTTTATATGAAGGTTTGATGATGATGAAGGTCTGATGAGAAAATTCCATAAAGAAGAAAGACGACAAACGGTTTCCACCAAAAAAAAAAACGAAAATAACCAATTCCGAAAGTTCCCTTGGGCATTTTCACGTATCGAATTGAATTTAACCATACAAGTAGTTGCGTTGCCGGTACCTACACGATGCCGATCAGACAAAGCTATTACTTCCAGGGTAATTTACCCAGCATTTCTGCGAAACGTCCTACACGTGTGCTTTCCCAACGGTATTGAGCATTACGCAAATTGCTTTTTTACGGCCCTTGTAAGCAGCGGTAGTTTTAATTAAGAGTGGGCTGGGGAACATGGGCCTTCTATTAGGAAATTGAACAGGGAAAGGGGAATGTATTACCTACACATACATGTTTAATGCGCACAGGATACACTTCAATAGGAGCAGTGACAAACGCTTGCTTAGTTATTAAATACTCATTTATTGTATTTCAGAAACACAGTTTCATTGATTTAGTTTTTGTCTTTAACTGCATTCAATTGCTTGTAATGCGTAATGTCCAAAACATTTGAGACGGAATTCCCACTAACACTGTTCATGTTCACCGTGTTCACCGCCATGATTGATCCTGATCACCACGAGCTAACATCGTGTTCCAATAATACCTATTTAAATTACAAAACGCCATACGGAATGACGTTATCAACACGAGATGCAAGCGTGATGCGCTGATGATAGGTAAAGGACACATAATTAGATCCCTTATTGCCTTAATTATACTGCACCGGACAAATGTCTCAATGTAGTAACTGAGGATATTGATGTTATGAACTGAGGATATTTGTGCTGATTTCAATGAAACAAAGGCATTGACTGCGGTGTCAATGATGACTGGGAATGAATACAGATGGGTCGAAACAATACAAATGGAGATAAATGAGACTGCGATTTTTGAAGCTGATATCGTGTTTCAGAAAACTTGCGTCCAACAGTTCACTGCCCTTACCGAAAAGATAATTATAACCTACAAAATGGCGGCTCAGCTTGCGCTAATAAGCTGGTCTGCCTCAACGATGTTATTGTATGGTCACAAAAGAATGTGAGGAACTAATTCACATAATGTTTCTTTGATACGTAAACATGAGATCGCATGACAAATATTTACTACAAGCTGCGCAGGAGTTTGCAACGTGATGCCGGAGATAAGGTGTCAATGAGAATGGCGAGATATAATTACTCTAGTGTAGTTTACAATTGATTTAGTTCTGACAAGGATGTACGGGCTCGTGAAGTTTTGTTTAATTAGGAATCGGACTTTAACCACATAAATGAATTGTAATAGTTACTATGTAATAAATCGTGTCGATTAAATCAGATTAATCGACGCTTTAATTGTGCCGAGTAACTTCGGTACATACCTAATGCAAAATAACGAGTTGATGTACTCAATTAAAACGATCTTAATGATAAACAGTCTTATCAATATGAGTACAAAAACGAGGTTAAAACAGCACACCTGTATGTACTTAATTTCATCAAAATAATAATAGATTTATTATAGTACTGAGTAGTCGTAATTTAAATGATATTGATGCAGGTTTTGACTGATAGCCCTAGGAGCTTCAGCTGTGACGCCTCAATAAATAGGACCGAACACTCACGTTACACGATTAGATTACATTACAAACACTCAATAAGGAGCTACCTATCTGCGCAATCCGTTTAAAAACAACAGGTGAACTATAACTAGTATAAGTACTTAATGTTGTTTTCGTATCCCATGTTAGAAATATGTAGGAAGTGATAAATAAAATGACGTTTGTTATGCCAATGTATTTATGATATTTCTAGGCTCTATAGTAGGTATGTGGCATGGAAAATCGATGTTAGTTATGCTTCAAGGTCCATTGATATACGAAATATTACGCAGTAGTAATCAATGAACAGATTTTTGAAAACGTGCTTTCTGTGAGCCAACATAGTGATTGATATGTTTGTTATCAGCCGACGAGCCCGCGTGTGGTAAATTACAAATAATGTGTAGTTACTACGCAATGTTTATCATTATATTAACAACAGTTTGTAACTAATTATGGAGTATCCCACATCTATTTTGCTCCGAAAATATAACTTATATTGGATCGAGTGGCATGGCAGCTGCGTCCGTTATCAGTATGTGAACACAATATATGCATTTTAATACACTTTATCACTATTTGTGTAAAATGAGTACGTTTGTACCGCGACACAAACACCGCGATACGGCGCCATCGACAACCAAAACATTTACCTAGAAGTACTTCGAAGTACCTAATTAATGTCATTACGAAAACAACGTATATTGTAGGTGAAGCGCATAAATACTCGCAGTAGTGCTGCTCGCAATAATTATTAATAAGTAAACACTTACACGATCACTTAATATTCGCTGTTGTTGACGGTAAATGCGTAGTTACCTCCTGCATACCGAACAAAGAAATATGGAAATGAACACTTGTACTCGACGGTCCCTTACACAAATAAGTAACGGATATGCAAAGTTATATGAAATTGTTTAGTTTTATGAGCAAATACCATTATTCAATCATTGGCATGAAAACTGCAGTTCAGGGCCGCAATAACATTGGCTTAAATTGATTAGGTACAGCTCACAAATACTGATTTGGGATGAACATATTAAAGAGCGATGTTTGATACCCTTTACGGAATACATATGAGGCCTCCAGCAAAGGCCCAGACAAGTTCAACATTGATAAATAGCTCCTAATAATAGGTTTATTACTTGTAACTTTCACTTTGTAACATTGCCAAATTGCTTAGAAGTCTACTTAGGCACATACGGTCTGGCCAATCCAAACCATGTAATTATTTGGCAAATACTAACATTTTGGATTACGAAACTTGGTCGTTTCATTAACGGAGTGGATCCTGTTTTGGAAAGTTTATTATCTAGGTATCAATCACGCGCTAAACTAGCTTTCTTGGTTCTTGTCTTGTTAACTGTATTTCCTCGAGTAAGTTGTACGTCGACTGATTTATTAATCTTAGTATGTATTTGTTCCAGGTATGCGAGAAACTGGAGATCGGTGTCGAAGCGGACTACTTCGGCCTCCGCGTATCTCCAGGATCTGGCCCCGGCAGATGGCTCAACCTGAGGAACCCTCTCGACCCACACCGCATCCCCGGAGGTCGACTCGACCTCCGAGTAAAATTCTGGGTGCCCCCACATCTCCTGATAAACGAAGCTACCCGTCACCAGTTCTATCTCCACGCCAAACTCGACCTCATTGAAGGAAGACTGGTCGTAGCAGATCTAGAAGTAGCTCGGAAAATCATCGCCTACATAGCTCAGGCAGAGACAGGAGATTGCGAACGGGAACTGCCACCAACGCACATATACGAAGAGTGTGACAAAATTGGTCCACAAGGCGAGCGACCAGAAGATCATGTCGACAAAATCATAGAATACCACTGCCAAATAGCCGGGATGAGAGCTTCTCAGGCGGAGTACAGATTGTTGAAAGAAATATCAGAGTTGGAGTCATTTGGGGAGGAATTGTTTTTCTGCAAGCCTGTCACCATAAACAACAACGCTCACAACCTGTACAGCCACCTGCTGTACCACAGGCAACAGGCGGAAGAGCCCAGAGCGAGGGATGAGCAGGAGATCGACGGTGGCGCGACAGTAGGCTGCTTGACGTCAGGACAGAGTGGAGGGGGCTGCGGCTGCAGGCTGAGCACGTGTGTGGGAGTAGGACCACACGGCATCGTCGTCTACAGACCAGCCTGCAATGGAGAACAAGAAATTGGAGTCGAGAAACAAAGGTATGCGTCAACTCATTTAAACATTGTTTTTCAATACCTAGGCACCAACATACCTATTAAATCGCAGCTAATTAACAATTCCATAATAAGAAAACAAAGTGCTCGGAAAGGTGAAAGTCACTTCGAAACGTTTCGTTCATTCTGAAAACAATAATGTATTGTACAGAAAACTGGACAAATGGCGTACGGTGTTGTCCTTGGATATTGCTACCAGCTCTTGTAGTAAGCCTAATTAATGTCATTTCAAAGCTAAATTTCATAAATAGTTGAGTTTCGACTATAAACTCTGTTTATTATTCGTATGAGTAGTCAAGTAGCGTGCGGGTCAAGACAATGAGTACATTCGCTTCTGTTTTCGGTTTGACTAACAGCACTTGAATTCATTAAAATGACATCACGGACCTAAATAACACAGAGAATATTGAAAAAAATATTTACTCACTGAAATATACACATTATGTTCTTAGTTTCTGTTCCAGAAGCGACTTTATTACAAACATATTATTGTGAAATTGCACGGTATTGATCGCTTACAATTACTGAGAAATGTATTTTTTCCAAGATATTACGTATAATTCTATATTTACTTGACTTACGTAAGATGCAGTGGGTACATATTTACCTGTATGCAAAACTAACATTCCATCACATCTAGCATTTTCGATTGTAAGAAAAAACAATTATGTTAAACGTGTCCATTAGAGGAACAAATTTTTGTCAACTGCGCAGTTCTATGGACAAATAAATTGACACAAAAATTGTGTTTATGTACATACATACATAAACGTACCTAAAACAGCTGAATAAAAATTTCTTATTTGCGAACTAAGTAGGAAATTAATAGGCTAAAGTTTATTTTGCAATTTAAATGAACAAATTGACAGAATTGAAAGACGCTGGCAGACAATTCGTCGAAGAAAATTTTATTGCACAATATCACAAAACCTACCTACAGATAGTACCTACGTCATATGATTAAAAGTGATCTTTTGACCCATTTCGTTTAGTAGCCACACCCCGATAGCATTGTTTCCACTTCATTAGGTACCTATTTGCAAGATAAATGTAATTAATTTACAAATTTTAAATACATCCTACTTCATATTTTCGTCGTTTTGTTCTCTATCAAAGATGTCGTTGTACCGATAACTGAAATTATGTTTAACAATGATAAGACTTTATATTCCACATATTGACATTTGTTTTCGAAGAAATTTCTCGGTTCTTGGACGAATTTCTTTGTTTTAGCTTATCATCCTTATCTTTGTGTATTTGCTAAGAATTTTGGTAGTTAGGACGACAACACGTAGCTATCTTTAGCACATTAACATTATGAGGAAACTGATATTGTGGATATAAAGACAAATTATTATAGCTTCTAGCTTCCCTATGACTTTATGGTTTTTGTTTTAAAGAATAAACTTGCACAGCTGGTATTTTAAGTATCTTAGTCCGAACTTGAAAACAGCCTCCTTCATGATGACCTCTGCTCTATCTGTAGCTTTCCCATGTAGTTATCTTCTTAAAGTAATCAAATAGAATACGAAATATCAAACATCGCTATTAGTTAATGCAATCATGTTTCTGCATAAAAAACATTACTTATGAACCCTTCTCCAATTCCAGCATCGCATACACCGCCATCCACCGCGCGCAACCATTCCGGCGCAACTTCCAAATGTCGTTCGTAACGGACGAGGGCAATGAAGCAACTCTTCACATCAAGATGGCCACGTCTGGGCAGGCAGCGGCCCTGTACCGCGCAGTGACGGAGAAACATGCCTTCTACTACTGCGAGACTGTCCGAACTGCTGTCACTGAGCAGTTCACTAGAGATCTGAAGGTAAGAACAAGATTTATGAAAGTTAATTTTGGATTGTATGATATTGAGGATAAAGTTGAAAGTCTATTAAAGAACGATGAGTAAGGGGTAGGTGTCTGTATGTATGTAGGAAAAAGGAAAGTAGACCGTAATGCCTTCGCCATATGGTATGTGGAGTTAGACGGTTGTAAGTTCAATCCACGGACTAAGGTTGGTTTTCATTAGAAAAGGGCTTATTTATTTCTGGTATTATTTAAATTAATTGACCCAAAATCTAAACGTGACCAGAAATAGCATTAAATGCAACGCAATTACCTACTTTATTCGTTCATGCTCCGAGTCACGTATTCAGCCTCTCTCCTATAAACCTTGGACAGTAACAACTGAAGAAGTAAACATAAACAGTCTTTAATATTAGATCTTTGGATACCATTTAAGCACCCACGTAAACTATTTTATCACTCTCTTAAACCGTCGTTTTTAAAGAGAGTCACTCAATTCTCCTATTAATACTTACCTGCAACTTCAGATCCCCTATTATTTACCTACAAGTTATGGTAGCTTCCTTCTATTGCAAAATTAACACAGTCTCTCTAGATTCTAGAAGTTTTCAAGTTCCCATAGACTCGAATGTCAGTAAGTAATATTACCTATGGACAATAAAATTAAATGAGTCCATTAATAGAAGTGACCAAAACATGTTTGGACTTTGTACCGTCCAATGTTCCCGGTCGGGCCGCCGTATTCGACCTCAACGCAGTTGTTATAACAATCGGCTAGTGTTGCCACATTGGACTTTGCACCTAATGAAGTGGCTTCGGAAAAATAATCATTTGTAGGTAGATTGTGGATTGTGGAGCAATTGTAGTTGCTCGTGTATGTTCTAAAGAACTTTTTTGGGAGATATTGCGAACGCAAACTTGTTATTGAAGCTTCTACATCACACAATGTTTAGATTAGTAGAGAAAACTTCATAAATAACAGAAACATTATACAATAATAGTCATAAAGTATAATTATTATATAAATTAACTAAAAATAAAGAGTTAGTCACTTAAATATACTGAGAAAAGCTCTACTAGTTTCGAGTCACAGAGGGATCCTCATTACAGCCAGACGCGGCGACGTCTTAAAGTCAATGTCTTGAAAACACAAATAGTACCTACCTACGTAGAATAGAATTACTAAAAATAATACAGCGTGAGAAAATTGTCTACGTCATCAAAATGCAAATGCTAGTTGAAACTATTATTCTGTAATGAGTTTATAAGAAAATTCGTATTTATCATCCTGAATGGTCAGATGTAGATGACGTCAAACGAATTGCCACCTCGTTCCCACACCAATAGTCTATAGGATGGGACACCTTACGCAATAGGACATCCTTATAAAGTCTACTAGTCTAATACTGTAAATGTTCGCGGATAAACGGAGGAAGGCGAAGATCCTTATACACGTTCATAGAGAATTATTTAGGTGTCTTAGGAGTTAAAAGCATTAACATATAGGGCGAGTACTTGATAAGACACCTAGAAATTAATCCTTCAAATATCATTTAATTAATGACAAGCACATATTAATACTTAGTGCTACTTAGTATGTATAACAATGGGTCGTATATGCACTGGGAGGTCGGCTTGATACCTAGTAGGAAAATCTATGTATCACTACTTATGCAGAGACCATCAAGCTTCCCCGATAAGATCTCTAATAGATTTTCAACTTTATCCTCTTGTAATTAAACTGATAATAATTAAAGGAAGTTCGATAGTTCAAGTTAACTCTGTAGGTACTTGATGATGATAAAGTCTTTAGAAAACCGATCTTAACTTACCACTTCAGAGCACAATTCACCTTGCATTGAATACTAATCTATGTATAACTTTATTCCAGGGCACAATAGCGTCAATCTTCAACGACTCGACGACTCTCGGGCGGCGCTATGTGTTTGACATCCGACGCACGTGCCGCGAGGTGTACGACCGCGCGCGCCGCGCCGCGCATGCGCAGCAACACTCCGCCGCGCCGCACGACTCGCGCACTCGACGCCGCACTGCCTCGGGCTCGGAACACAAGGTATGTCGGTGTTATGTACCTGGAAACTATCATTATTATTCACCACTGTATACCTACTTCTTACTCTTACATAAAGTTTTTGTCGGGGTAGACAAAAGTTACCGGGTGCCTGCAACTAATTACCTATAATAATATGTTAAGCACACCTCCAAAAATCTCTCCCGTTAGGGAAACATAAATACTCTCCAAAGTGCAATTTAAATACTCCCATAATCCTATTTTCGTTTATTCTCTCAACATCATTATTGCAGCCAAAACCCGTCCACTGCTAAAAAGGGGCCATCCACAAAAAGTGGTCACACTCAAAAGTGAACGTCTTAGCGGACATTACAAAACAAACTTTCTTCTACTCCTATCATACCTCAAACTACTTCTACCAGAACTGATGTAATAATGTCCTCTCTTGTTCCCCAGGAGTCCCGGTCTCGCTCCCACAGCGGCGGGTGTCGCGCGGAGGCGCTGGCGTGTCGCGTGTGTATGGACGAGCCCATCGACACTCTCTTCCTGCCCTGCCGACACGTCGTCTGCTGCGAAAATTGCGCTCCCAGGTAAATATCACACGTTTACACAGAAATAAGTTGAAATTGGAGATGACAATCACTTTCATAGAAACGAATTTGTGTTTCATAGTACTAATATTCGCTTCCCTCTTTACAGATGCAACCGCTGTCCGCTGTGTCGCAGCGAGATAGAGAAGTTAATGCACATATTCCTGCCGTGCGACTACCCAAAGAGTCCCGGCCTAGTGAAATGAGTGCGAGGCTCGCCCGACTTGGAACAAGATGACGATGAGTTTCTACTTGAAATGATTCCGCCGCCGTCCGCCGGCAGACACAGAACTGTGTGTGTGTGTGTGAGAGAAGTTGTCTAGTCACTAACGTTTGACTCCATCTGACAAATGCATTTTAGGAATGGACGCCCATTCCAATTTATGTTAATCTGGTACTTACTTCTTAGTATTTTAAATCGTTTATATGATTTATTGGCTATATCTAAGTTGATATTATTACGAGAAAAATGTAAAAGAAGAAAATCTATGTTTAAAAATAATTTACCATTCATCTATTGTTTTGTATCGTGTGTAGATGTAATTTCCTCCACCATTGGGAACGGTGGAGAGTTCTGTTATGTATTTACCCACATGATGTGTTAACCACACGGTGTTCTTGCCGGGGTATTAGATCCCTTGTCAGCCCCCGGCTTGTTAGTGTTGAGAGTCGCCCCCACCTTTGTGCCTTTTTAATCTAAACTACCATGCCCACCATTTTAAGCTCCTTTCCGCGCATGGCGCAAATATTGTAAAGGGAAAGCATTGTGGCCTTTCGCGACCTCTTTTATATGTAACTTCCTCAATAATGAGTTGACGATGTCCCACGCACTCTCGCTTCCGACCCTGGCCACCACCACGGCCGGAAGCGAGAGGTTACTTCTTAAGAACCATCAATTAACACGAACCTTCGTTTTAGAAGGCCTAGTTTACTATTTTGTGATAATTAGTTTGTGTTTAAAGAAAACTGTTCAGAAAATGTGCATTTTTAATTAAACTTAAACTTTCTTGTTCATCTTTTAGTAAGTTCGTTCGTAACATTGACTTAAGTTCGATTGTAAGATGTATTTTGTAAGACCTATGGTCTGTAAGTTAGTTATTATGGGAAAAAACACAAAATAAAACATTACTAATACTGCCATATTGTGGTTTCATTTATTTACTTCTTTAGTTGCCTGAACGCTGGAAGAAGCTAACATTCATTTTAAAATTGACACTAACAGTCACAGACTATTAAAGCTGCAGTTGAGTGTTTTCTTTCAATATTTGTATGTATTGTTTAGAGATAAACCCTCTAGTTCCTACTATATAGATTCTGAAGATTACCTACAGTAATAAAAAAAAACTAATTTATTATGAACCATATTAGCCTATAATTGATCTCAATTGGAGTACAATGGTACTGTACCTACGTCTACATTGCCCAGGTGCGCCTCCCATGGCATACACGTTTAGTCAAACCATATAATTATGGATAAGAAAGAAGTTGATAAAAACGTACTTATTTATGTACATAATAAAAATTTACCTATTAATTGTTTTTCGGCATACTCACGTAATTATTTGACGAGGAACCCGACTAGTTTTAAGCTATGCTAAAGGCTCAAAGTCATATAGTACCTATATTATGTAGATATTCAAGTATTCAAAATACAAAAGCTACATCATGGCAAAATGATCGGTAAAGAGGTCGATAGTATCGTACCTGTAGCAGCCTATTTACTACATTACTTACTACTCCAAGAAAAAGGTATTTTTTTAAGAGGGGAAAATCATCGAACTCCTGCACGTCGAGCCGGAGCCCCGGTAACCCATTAGGTTCACCGCGACTCCGAATCGGCAACAGCTCTGTTGACGATGTCGCGATGCCCCGTACGCTCGGGTCTGTTTCTGGTCGGACGGAAAGCCACCCATGCTCGCCGTCCGCAGGCCCGCGCTTACGGTGGCCGGATATGGTCCCGCGATCCCCGACGCCCGGTGTGTCCTTCGCGATGGCTGGGTTGCGAGGACGCAGCGCTTCGATGCCTCACGCGTTCCGCCTCCTCCTTAGGTAACATAACTGCTTCGCAAAAGAAGGAGACGGCATCCCAGTCTCCTTCGCTCCGCATCATGACCTGCAATAGGCCCGGACGCGAGAAGTCGCCATCGCCGATTACTTCCCCGAGGGCACGTCGGTGCTCAGCCCACGCAGGGCATTCTGCTACCGTGTGTTCCACCGTATCCTCAGGGCGGTCCTCGCAGTGATGACACCCGGGCGTTTCCTCCTGCCATCAGTCACACACAGGTACCTCCCGAAACTTCCATGTCCGGTACGGACCTGCGTCTGGCGGTAGGTGAGGACGCCGTAGCGTCTCTCAAGCCACTCCTCAAAGAGGGGACTTTCCGCTGCAATGGCAGCGAGCCCAAGAAAATGGTCTACAGGGGTGATTCAGTCCAAGTTAATCCAGCTGTCATCGCGACAAACTCTTTTTTGCCAAGTTTCTGTATTTACAACGTCGGTGGCGGTCGGTGAAGGGCATCCGAAGAGGAATTTCGTGAAGATTCGTTGAAAAAATGTTGAATTATTGATATGCTAAAATAAATGATGCTGGCATAAGCCAAACTACTCAAGTTTAGTTTAACAACTTTGGCATAAACTGGCTAAGCATTATTTCCCTATTCATTATCATCATCACTTATAAAGAATTATCTACAATATCCTAATTTTTGAAAGTCTCACTTAACTCTCAATAGTTGTTTTTGTGGGATGGCAACTCAAAAACCTTTATAAAGTGGCAACTAGATGTCTTGATTGTCAAATTTGACAAAAACTCTTTTGACAGATGACTTTGACGTAAAGTGTCACGATTTAACATTATTTTATAGCCTATTATATAGATTATAATTGTAACGAAGGTATATTTTTCAAAAAAATTAGGGAACTAATCTGATATCAAATATTTAAATGGTTTTATTGTATCAAAAGAATATTGTTGTTGGCTGTATGGTTTGGTATCGTACTCAGAAAAAATAAAATAGTCAGTTGTCTGTGGATTCCTAAGAGTTGCCACCTTTTATAATTTACCGTAATATTAGGACTTACATTATTAGTCATAAAATCCATAGTTGAACAACTACAAGGGCAGACACTTATCTAATAAAATGCTTTACGAAGCAAATATGGCGAAAAATTGTGCTAAAAACCAGAAATAAAAGTAGACAGTAAGCTTCATCATTCTACTTTTTATTTTTATATTGAATAAATGGTTCAAACATTATGCATAATATTTACTGTGTTAAGTAACTTCGACAACAGTATTAATAAAATTGTAATTGTTATGTCAAAGAACATATTGAAAAATTAGTAATTTTTTTCTGACATCGTAGATAACGAACAAATTCAAGTTATGGTTGTTCTAAATTATTATGATATTTTATCATAAAATTGTTGGATCCGACAGGGTCCGTAATTGTTACTATTGTGTTTTCTAACCACATGTAAGTGCACATTATGGATCAATAAATACATGCTTAATTGATTGACTTGTTCATTTAAGCACATAGTAGGTACTTACTCGATAAAAAAGTTTTATTGAACTGTCAAGTTAGTTTCATTAAATTATAAAGTTGGGAAAGTTTTGTTAAAACCTAGCAACATTTCTCCCTGCTCATACGAACGCAAGATGGCTGCCAATTTATGTGAACGCAAGGACAAGTAGAAAAGTGGTATCCGTTTGTGATATTTCGTTTATATTTGTGATAATAACATTATAAATATTATCATTGTTTTGTGTATGTGCTTGGAAGAAGTTTTTGTGCAATATATTATGAGTTATTAATGTTTTAAAAGTAGTTTGTGTAATCTTACGTTTGATGGTACAAAATGTTCCTTGTTGAATTGTGATTATTTATGCAGTGATACAAGTTTTTGGATCGCTATGACGCTTGTTGTTGGATGATATCAGTGTTATCATGTAAGTGTGTAATTTTTAAGTATATATTATTTTATTTGGCTTAGTATAAGTGAGTTGAAAAATTTCGTCAGTGTTGTAACCTATTTGCCTATATAGGGTTTTCAGTGGCGTGGCTGTCGAACGAACCGGCGGCTAGCCGGTGCTTCGTCTGCCACAGCTGTTAAGTTCTCACGTAAATAACGCTTTGATTTCCTCCACACCTCGGTTTTTTGCCGTTGAAAACGAAACATGCAATGAAATAAATGTCATTGTGTTAGTTAGTCATGTAACAGATGTTTTAGTAACGATACGTCGAGGCAGACCCTCGGTGTACGTTTAAAATGTTCACTACATTATCCTCAGTCGTTATCTGGCATGTACATTTTTATGTTCATGTAAAAACAATTATTTTTTCTGCCCGATTGACACGAACGCGCGATGAATTCATGTTTATGTATGTAATCTATAGATTTACGACGTCTGAAGATGTCTAATCAAGCTTAGCTTATATTACTTCCAAATGCCTTGGTAATACATCATTCTGTTTAGGAGATAATGAGGGACAAACAAATAAGTAAGTAGGCCACACATCGGTCCTTTGTTTTAAACTTTCACTGTAGGCATACATATGATAATTATATGTAGTTGAGTGTAATAACATTGTTGTTCTAACTGTTCATTTCAATAGGACATAAATTCAATTTAATTTCTATATGTAACCACTATGTTTTACCTTGTACAGTACAAGTAAGTAATAATATGAATCTGTAACAAATTATTTAAATACAATAATTATTGCCGAATACTATACTGAAACTAATGGTTCAATATTATTACAGCCGATATCTTATTACACAGTAAAACAATCAATTTCATACTTGAATATGTCCATTTGTGTTCAATTACTACCCATACCTAGAACTTATGATAATACACTTTTGTATCCCTACGAGAGACTCATCTACGATGTTCCACTATCTTTTTAACTACCTAGTCCATAACATTATTGGAAAAAAGTCCTTTGAAATAGAGGATGAGGCCATTACCATGCATTGGTCAAAATTCCAGAGAATGGGATAATTATTGTGTCAATTCAATCATCCTATATTCGATCAACTTAAATATCAACTTAAATACTCATTTCCTTATAACTATTAACCTTTTAACCAATATCTAATTTCCATTTAAGAAAGATGAATATCATTTACATACTTTAGTTTAAAGTAGTTGCATAGTTAAATAAAAATGTTATTTTATATTAGCATCACATGCATT